CAATTGGTAATCAGGACATGACGAGACATTCCCCCAGGCGTGACAGACAGTCTCATTCCAGAAATGCTAGCCTTTTTTTAACAGCTTGCAAAAGGCAGAGCATTAGACCATTTTAAAGGAAGAAATCCTCCTAGCTTCGCACTTTAGGTTCTCTAGGAAACTGAAAACTGAAACTGAAATAAGCGTGCAGACACAATTGTGCAGACGCATTCATGCATCAGCTCAGTTAATGCAGTCAGACTTACTCCGATCATAAAAAAAAAAAGATTATAAATAAAATAAGTATTTACTTAACTGATGACTCTGAATTGAGATTAAGAGTGAGTACGCACAGTTGTTTGTTTAATTTATTTCTTTGTTGGACAAGCAACATGTCCAGGGTGTATTCTACCTCTTCTCTGATGGTAACTGGGATGATTTCCAACATCCCATAATCTAAAATTAGATGAAGCAGGCGTATAAATTGGATGGATGGATGATTTAAAATGCTAACTCCAGCTAATTAGCATACAATGCATAAATCAACCAAGAATGGCAACCTTAATAATTGCTCCAATAGCAAGTGCGCAGCTAAAATGTGGTTTGGAACTTATTCAAATACGTCAAATACGTTGCTTGATTTATTTACCAAAAGCTTGTTGGTATAGCTTGGCAGGGCGGTGATGCATTACAACTAGCCATAATCCTCCTTTTGTTGTCAGAACCTATAAGTCTGTCGTAATAACATGAAAAAAAAAGCCTCCATATCAGCCAACGGCCCAACTCTTTCTACTTTTGGTTGAATGAAGGCATGAATGAAAGGATTTTAAGACCAAAGGACAACTAGAGGCTAGAGCAATGCAAACCTTATCCTGTAAATGAATCAGACACACCTTGTTGGGGCTCAAATAGTACAATGTGTATGAGGAGGTTGGATTTACGCAAAATGAGTATTTCAGATAAAAAATCAATAAATAATTAAAATAATGATGATAATAATGACTAAACATGTCATTTTCATGTTTTCATGTCAATTGATTTAGCTAAATCAATTCACCGATTCACCTATAATCTATGCTGTATTTTACAAGATTTGCAGAGTCCTACATTAATGAAGAAAGAAAATTTCTCACAAGTGCATGGTATTAATCTATTGCAACCTTCGTCCAGGGCAGTCTTTGTTTCCAAATTCCACAATGTCTCCAGTAACAAAAGGTTACGATATGAGCTGCCGACCTATGGCTCGGCATCCATCCTTATCTGTAGTCAAAATCAGGAGCACTGGCCATCAATAGTCTCAATAATAGGCAGAGCTCTCAAATGTTTCCGTGCCGATTACGTGCTTTGATCACTGATGATGGCAAACAAAACTTATTTGATTCTTCCTGAGCTGAGCCAATCATCTCCATGAGAATGACGGGACTAAAAAGCAGTTAGCGGGTAAGGTATGGGCGAGAAGAAAGACATAATTTATGAAACTGGCTTACTGGTTTAAATTAATACAAAGAAGCAAAAAAAGAAAGAGAAAAGCCAAAACAAAGAATAAAGAAGCCAAAAAAAACGAAAAAGAAAGAAAGAAACCTCTTCATGCTGCCGGTATAATTTTTTTCCTACTAGTTGATATTATATTGATATTTTTGGTCATGTGCTCATCAACGCTGACTAAATCAGGGTTTAAGGTGCTGTTTGAACCGCTGACCTTTTCACTAACATTTATGGATACACAACCCCTGAATCCCACTGCTGTAATGAAAACAAGTTTAAAAGAGGCACTTGAAAGCTGTAATTAATTTCCATGTTAACACTATTTGGACAGCAGCTCACAAAGGTGCTTGCTCGAGCACGAAGCAAAGACATATGAGTTTATTGACTTAAGGTAGGGATGCAAATTATCAAGTAATTCATTAATCGATAGTTTTTTCATCTTATCGATCGATGATTGATTAATTGGTAAGTGGCAATTTTTCTGAGAACCGGAATTTCCCTACTGTATACGTGTCATAAAATGCTATCTTCCTTATGATAAAAAGAAAAATGCTGATCATATTGCCTAATCAAAGATTTATTTTTGGCTCACTTGAGGGTAGGGAATAACATTTTAGTAGAGTATCAAACATTCTGAATAGAAAATATCAGAATATTAAACTCATCTCTCATCTGCAACATGTTAAACATTAATAGTAGCAGCATAAAACAATACATTCCTGAATAGAGAAATACAATGCTAATAAGGCTCCTTGAACATGAAAATAAATTACTGCACTGTCTCTTGCCAGCATTATAAAAATCAATTCAGAAAAGTAAATACGGTGTCACATGGGGACGGTTAGCAGCATTTATAATCCCCCGTAAACTGGTAAATATGTCATAACATAACGAAACATCCCTAAACATCCTCATTGCATAGATAGACCTATCTATTTTTTTTCAAAAATATCAGCGTAGCAACTTCTTATCACTGTCTTGTCCATTTCATCCTGTCAGTACATCGCTCTCTTCGTTTGTCCTGTCATTGTCGTCAGAGTCCTGCTTGTGTTTCCGCGTGTCCGCCAAGTACATCTGGCATCAAGCACGCCCCCAAACAGACTAGCGGGGAATTCAGGGTTCAAGACGAAAAAAATGGCAATTTACTTATTTTAATCGAGTCATTTCTTATCGATAATTAATCGATTCCTTGTTTGTATCCCTAACTTGAGGCACAAAATGGTAAACCGACTTACAGAAAAACCAAATGCTTCCTTCAAACACTAAATCCTATGATGCCTGTGAGCATTGTTGAACATGTCTGTGGGGTTTAATATCCACCAAAGTCATTTAAAAAGTAAGTAGCTTGGGTCTGTTGTGTAGCTTTGTGACCTCACTCAATCAGCTCGTCTTTCTCGCTCTCTCTCCCATCAGTTTTTTCTCAAGTACAAACCTCTGCTTTGCGTCTGATAGTGACGGTTCCTATAGAGACTAAAACACATACAGCGGAACACACACAAATACTTGTGTGGAAATCTCAGAGGCTATAGAAAGTAAACAGGATTAACTGGCTATCCTTTGCTCCACTGTAAACGGCCTGTAATGGTAACACTGCTTCTAAATCCCTCCATCTCGCTCTGCCCTCTATCCCCCCCTTCCTTTTTCTATTAAACATGGAGGTTAATCCCCAGTCCCCCTTGACCCCTAGCGCTGTGGCCCAGGATAAGCTGTCAGAGCCGGGCTGCTGATACTCAGCTCTGCTGCCACACAGTCTGAGCACTGCACAGGAATGTCCTTAGAACTTCTACATGAAATGTACTTTTTTTTTTTGTCAGTCCTAAAGATTTCGATACCTTTATAACTTTATTCTGTGGATGGCCATGCGCATCTCTGGAATGGCCTTTTTTTTTGCTCTACCCCCAATTTGCCCCTCCGTCCTATTTCACAAAATGCAATCTCTGTTGGAATAAAATCTTCCCTCTGGAGCACCCTCAAGCAACTAAGTGCACTCAGCGCCAGCACTAGCAGCTCCTGTCAGAGGACCATCGACATAAAAACACTGACCCATACCTTCCAGTCCTCTGCTCTGGGCCTAAATGGTTGTACTGGCAGGTTAGCAATGGCTTTCTAATGACGCCCACACTCTTCATCGATGTCAAAAATGCCACAAAAGTCAATGTGCTATCCCTCCTAGCCCACTTTCACTCATTACGTCCGACCCACTTGCTGAGTGGAAAAGTCAATATTGTTCAGCTGGAAGGGGACTCACAGGAACCAGAAACATTGGCTGGAATGACCCGCTCCTCATAATAAGGTCATAGCCATCATGTTTCTCCATATTACGGGAATTAATGCTCTGCAATAGGTTCCAGACCTCTGTGAAGTAATTCGCGCTTTTAGGGATAAAATAATGAATAACAGCAGGTAGTCACCTTAAGGCCAACACCTTATTTTGACCCTCTTAACACTCGGTGAAAAAGACGGAGAAAGCAGAGGGTAGAACAGAAGGGAATAATAACCTCGACATTACAGCACACAGCAGGTATTTCAGGCTTACAGCTGACCGTGTGAGGTAATGTCTCACAGAGTAAGACCCATAACCTGTGCTGAATCAGCACAGCCCAAAGGTCTGATTGAACCTTTTGCCATTCTACAACTACTTTCCAGTTTGGTTGCAACATTCCACTTCGAAAACAGTTTGGATATCCATGTACGCATGGATACGATAACGCTGACATTAAAACACCCAGTGCCAGTGTTGCTATTTGGATTTATCTTCATCAACAAAAAGTAATCCCCGGTATAATTTTTGTTCATTCCGATACAACCTCGAATTACATTTCGATGCAATGGGACCTCAACCGATTCACAGAGCACATGCGTGTGAAAATGCATATCATACAGCTGCGGCCTATGTTATTAAAGTCTTATTTTAGCCTTAACCATGATGACTTATTTCAGTACCAACCAAATTATGTTACTGACTAAATCTAAAACTGTTTCATCACAAATGTGACCAAAGAAACCAACTTCATCATGTCCATGAGAGTGGTAGGTGTCTGGTAAAAGAAAAACCTTTAGTCCAAATGACGATATTTTTCCAATTCGAAATCTGTTTTATTGACTGTATAAACCCAGTCAGGAAGTGACTTGACAAGTTGTTCTTTTCCTTCAGTTCCAGTGCAATAAACATGTGTCAAATTCAAGTATATCTCAGCAGGACATAAGAGGGCCCATCAGTTCTCATAGTTGCCTTTTATGGTCATGGCAGGTGTGGTAGAAGAGCAGCCTGTACCTCCCTGTTCACAGCGTCTTCCTCCGATCCCCTCCCAGGAAAATTCTAGCAGCTTCGAGGCCAGTTGGGAGATATAATCCCTCATACAAGTCTTGGGTTGGCCCTTAATCAGCTCCCTATGCGCAGGAAACCTCTACGGGGAGGCGCAAATCAGGTGCTCATCAAGTTCCCTCACCACATCAGCTAGTTCCTATAAATGAGGAGGAGCTGCCAGCGAGCTTAATTCCCTCTCTCACTTTTTGCCTGATCTTTACACATAATTTTCAGTTGGCCATCATCAAGTATGCAATTAATATTAGACATACATAAACTCATCGGCCTGTTTTGATTTTACTGGGCAGAGCCAGCCTCTCTGGTTTGGGAAAGAGGTTTTGCAAAAGCAAACCTTCCAGATGCATCTGCAGGAGCTTGGACAACCCCATACAAACAGGGAGATTGCCAAAGATTGAAGCACAGACCCAACCCTAACACTGCTAATTTAATGTAATAACACATTGAAATCATTTGAATATACTTGAAGAACATTGACAGAATGATTCTTTGAACTTTTCAAAATGAATTATTCAACGTTTTGCACATTCTACTTATGCCTCTTCATGTACTACCTATTTGATACTGTTGACAACCAATCAAAGCACAAAAAGCACGATTTATGCAGAAAAACACCTTCTCAGTGGAATCAGTCATCTCTTTTGTGTGAATTCAAGTTCAATATTCTCCTATTTGGCTCCTCTGTGGGGATCTGTGGGGAATTATCTGACTATTGAACAGATAAATCCTGCTTTGGGTTCACCTGCTAATTGCTATTTGCGTGTGTATTCTATTTTGTCAAGTCCGGGAGAAAGGGATTTAAAGCTTTAATATGGAAAACAGGAGCTGGCTGTAGCCAATAACAGTAAAGTTGTCGGCAGGCGAGGTGATAGATTTTTAAAAATTAAAGGCTCATTGCGTAGCACCAGCCAGCGTTCTATAGAAGCCATGTTTTACACTGAAAAGGTCAGACTTGGAATTGATGTCCACATAAAGTCGCAGTTCTTTATCTCTGCAACAGTAGTTGGCGAAGCATAACTTCTAACACCCACTTTTCCTTCGCCCCGCCTGTCTCTCCGTTGGCTGAATAGCTACTCACGCAGAATTTCTTGGACGCGGGGAGCGACTCCCCTGTGGGGAACCCCGCCGCTATTCGATACAGTCACTCTAATGTGGTGCTCATTGGCTCAAAGTAACCGCGGAGCAGCAACTAAAGCCACAGCTAAAAGGGATGTTTTTGCTACCGCAGGAGTCAAAGAGCTGTGGCTCAGAGGGAGAACAATCGAAAGCGATGACGAGGTGAAAAGGACAGGATGGGATGTGATAAAAGCAGACCGCTGAGGAGGGGAAGAGCTCAGAAAAATAAGTGCAGGAAGAAAGTGGCTATGAATAATGGGCCAGTTTGGGTGTGTATGGATAAAAGGTGTGAAATGAATTGGGTGATGGCGTGAGGTGCTTTGCAATCAACCAATTAGAGCCTTCTGGGTGACGACGATGATGATGATGGCGATAAGAGTAAAGCGAATAAAGAGTGGTCACATATTTGATGACCACTTGATGTCACATATTTGTAGACAACTGAGGAGGCATTACCCCATCTCTGCTTAGAAAGCCTTCTTTAATTATGTCGAACACACACTCGGCAACCTACAACATCTATTTATAGAAGTGCAGGTTTAAGAGCTGCAGGCAAAACCCACGTCCAGACACAATCAGATCTCCTGACGGCTCTCCTCCATAACGTCGCGTAGGAGCTGCCCGGCCAGCAGCACGGCCTCCTCCGAGTTCATGCTCGTGGCAAAAGTTGCATAATGCGCCCAGTGACAGCATCAATACATAATTGGACAAGCAAAGACACGCAGATTAAAATAGACCCATTTATAGGACGGTGGGAAGCTTTCAAAACTGACAGCGATGTCGAAGTTGCACCCGTTTTCCTGCAAAGTATACACAAACACACATCCCAGACACACACACACACACATCCCAGTCAAACTCAGCCAATCATCCCAGCGTCACCCAACCACATCTCTCCGTGAAAAATAAGGAGTGATGAAGTAAAAACAAGCTGCTGTGTTTTGACAGGAGTGTCAGCTGAAGTCTGAATACAGAAATGTTTCAGTCCACTGTCCGGTACCCACCCCCTCTCCTCCTGGTTGTGGTTGGATTGTTAGCCCCCCCAAAAGCCTAGATGTGTCCGAATGCCGCAAGGCCATGCACCGGGGACTCACCTGGTCTTTAGCTTGCTGCGCTAACACGGCGTAGGTGGATATCCTGCTGCACAGGCATTTGGTGTGGACGCTGTTTGACGCGAGCGTCTGGCAGCCTTCTCTGCCCCAGTTTTCAGCGCCAGCTTCCCTGGAGGGAGAGGGAATTTGGTAGGGGGTAGGTGGGGGGGTTACCACAGGGGAGATGAAAAGCCAATGGTGAGAATAACGCAAAATGAAACAAACACACACACATAAAAAGACGGTCAAAAACCCTGGTCCTCACACACCGACAACCTCAAATGAATCCTGATGACCCCCCACATCTCTATGTTCAAAACCCTTATAGCTTCCTACCAAACCGCATGTTTCTCACAGTTAAAAAAAAAAAGAAACGATAATAATAATCCTATCTCCTTCACACGGGAGAAAACTTTTAAAATGTGGCATCAGCTAACAGTTAACAACAACCCTTCCAGCTTCAGAGGTTGATAAGGGTTATGCAGCAGTAAATGGTCCATTGATTTGATGCTCAATGTTACCAGGGAAGCAAAAGTTATTCAACATAACTGTGTACATTTTATTGAGCTACATCTCTCCCCTTTATACGCCACGTCCCTTTACCTTTCCTTTCTAAGGCTCCCCCACACAAACTTGAATGTGGAAGTCGATCGATGAGATTCCAACTAAACTAATTACTCTGCCCAGTTCATCCCACGCACTGGCGTAGCATTTAACCTCAAATACAGTCCTATTTCGGTCACCAGGGACATGTGGAGGATTGCCGAGAGACATTAAAGAAGCCGCAGAGGTTTTCTGCCGGGTCAACCCGGCCTCATTCATGCCTGGTGGCAACAAGACTTCCCAGAATGCTTCATTTGTCCCCGATTGATCTTTGGTCTTTCTACTGGTCTGATGTTTAGTGTAGATCTAGTTTCGGTTCTTTGATCATTAATGTAGTCTGACTGGGCAGGATGCAAAGAGTCCTGATAAAGACAATAAGCTGAGGTTCTTCATAGCGACAGATCAAGGTTGATTTATTTTACTTTGTAGTGAACTTATTCATGGTTTTTCTGAGAAATGTCCGACACACGGAGCTGACTTTCCAAAGGTTAAGGCAGGTCGACTTAAAATAGACAGTTTAAAAGCATTACAGAGGAAGCAATTGGGTCCCCCGGCTGAAATGAGTCATCAACATCAGAACATATTTCATTATTTTCGTGTAAATGCTTGTGACAGATGATAGCCTACAGCTGCGACTGCACACAACAGAAAGACAATTAAAAACACTTCAAGGATGGGTTTTTGATTTCACAAGGACTTTAAGCCATTATTGCAAAGTTAAGCTAAAAATGTATTCCATTTTTATCCCTGGAAAGTGTTTATATGTCATCTACAACTCTGTGGGGAAAAAAATAATAATCACAACCTCGTCAGATGTGTCTCCAGCTCAGAGGAACAACACTGTCACCAGGTGCCATGTGGGGTGCGACTCTGAGCATGAAGCTGAAGCTCATTAGGAGCTAAAAGGAATTCATTGCACCAGTCCTTCAATAGGTGTTCATTCCAGTACGTGGGTGTGGATAAAAAGAAAAACATTTACCATGGGGGAGGTACAAGAGTGCAAAAAGCCACGCTTCTGAAGAGCGAAAATCTTTGATTTAGTGTAATTAAAGAAAAAAAAACATATCTGTTGCCTCTGTTCTGCATGTGCAAGAACACAAACCCCTACGTTACCATATCTTCATCACAAGCACAAACAGTTGGCACCAGTACAGAAGCTCTATCCATACTATCTATTCTGAAGGCTAGACCGGAGTAAATCTTAAAGTGGGACTCCACAAAGCATTTTGTTGATTTGTCTTTCGCTAACAAAGAACAGATTGCGGTGGTTCATTTTGATCCACCTTCTGTCAACATTTAGAGAGCACAAACGGATGAAAAGTAACCATTTTTACACCGCTCTTCCACTGCTAATCCTTCTGTGGAGAACTTAATTACCCCTTCCCAGGCTAATAGCACTGAGTACCCTCAGCAGCTGATGGAGAGAAAACTGAAGAGCGATGGCTTTGCAGAACGAAGAGGAGCTGTGTGAAATATGAAATCTCCATCTCAATCAATACGCCAAACACTGTTTTGACTGGGAAAACTGTTATTCTGTGTGTCATTTCAATCTTGTGGCTGCCCATTCAGTGACCTTTGGACTTGAGAAAAAAAATTATATGCACTGGCGCGTAGCAAAAAAATAAATAAATAAAGATGCCATTAATTTCCCTTCTGGGATCTCTTACTGTGAATATCAGTATCTTACCAGACGGGATTAAACTGACTTTTCTTGATAATTAGTATATCTACTCCTCCATAGATTTTACTAAGATATAGTTTACTGTGTTCTTTGTGCAGCACGCACACTTTTCTATTCCACTAACTTCATTTCATGGGAGTCGTTCAGATGCTTTCATCTAATTGGATTATACAGTCGGCACTTGCATATCTTCGGATATCGCGACTTAATACACAATGAGCAAAGATAAACCAAACAATTAAGCATGCTGCATCATTTCTGCATCCCTGTAGCTTCAGATGTTGTCAATCAAATAAAGAAAGCGAACGGCAAAGAAGATTCTGCAACTTTACAGAAAAATGTACACCAGAGTGCACTACGTCACTGAAGACTAAATATACTTGTGTTTTGATGCCCCTCCCCCAACATAATCGGTGTGACTCTGAATGACAAGAACGCGTCAACAGTAACCCTCAAAAGTGCATCTGAACACGGAGAGGCACACACACGAGCGCAAACATACACGAGGTACAAAAACACGGGCTGACACATAATTTATAATGTCAGTAATGAGATGTGCGCCCTGATGATCGTCATCTGCAGGGTGACACTTCAAAGACCCAAGATCAGCAAATGAGTCGCAGCAGTGAAGCTCAGTGACAGTTTGACAGCGTGCAACATGGTGCAGCGTTGTGTGTGTGTGTGTGTGTGTGTGTGTATCTGGGAAATGTAAGGGAACAGAGAGTGAGAAACACTATGTGTGTTTGCTCACAGCTGAAGATTTTGCCTGACCAATCAAAAGGGTTTTCGTGTCATTTGGTGGTGCTAAAAAAAAGACAACTGCCTTCAATAGGAAAGACAAAGGAAAAGTTCATTTTTAAAATGTATGGATTTTATGAGTTCACACTTAGACAAGACGACAAGAAGTGAACTGGGATGAAAAGTGCTTTCACAAGTGAAAAACACAGTATGGGGTCAAATGGGCTAAATGCATTAATGATAATGGGGTTCAAAGACACACAGAGGGAGGTGCTAACTGATTAATGTACATTCTTGCCGAGGCAATGCCATTGAAAGCACGCGCAGCTTGTGCTAACTGACACAGATGGACCCGAGTTCCGCCTGCGAAAAGTATTCAACACTAGTCTGTCAGAAAAGAAAGAGACGATCTGCTGGCTCTCACCGGGAGGTCGCCTCTGAAAGCAACAACATCAATATGCAAACTCTTTGTTTCGGCTGATGATCTTATACATAACAGACCGTCTGATCTTCGCCCGCTTATGCTGGGATTGATTGCTGCTTTTCATGATCTAAAATCCCAACTTGAAGAGTTTTAAATCAAAGTTAGATGATCCCAGTCATTGAAGATCCACAACTAGAAGTCACTCTGTCTTTTTCTAGGAGTCACCATTCATAAGGAGGTGTACCCTGGCAACCACAAGAGTCTAACCCTTCCTGTATCAGTGCATCTTGCTAATGTTCCAATGTTTTACAGAGGACTTATTGGTGTTTTTTAATGTAAATTAAAAATTTTGTCTAATTTGCAGAATTAGTTATGGCTGTTAAAAAATAAATAAATCCCAACTGAATTTTCAATGTAAACAGAGAGAATAGACATCCTGACAATAATCCTGAAAATAGCAAGAGGGATTCAGCCCTGGATGTCAACCCAGTCATCGATTATCTAACAATAATTTGGTTTAGTCTGGTGTTATCATGAAGTGCTCTTTTAGGCCCTTTGCATCAATTTTGAGGAAGCCAATCAGGATTTTAAAGATCCTCCAAATAATTTGAGGTTGTTCAGTCATTCATAATTTATGCATAATCTGTACGACTGATGTTATCAACTTTAAGAAGCACAAGTGCTAATTAAATGCCATTATATATGCAACTGGCTATTACAGCAAATTTATCGCAAGAACAGAGATTCCTGATGCTATAGGATTTTCCAGATATTTAAACGGGAAAATGGCTGGAGGGCGTTTTAAACCTCAACCTCTGACAAGCTAGCTGCCCTGAGAACGAAACAGCAGGAATTTCAGGAATACAGTTTTATAAAAAATGTAAAAAAATAGACAAGGACGTAGAAACCTGGCTTTCATAGAGTTGGGGTTGGACAGAGACTGCAGACAGGAGGTAACGTAAAGCAGGAAGAAATTAAGAGTCTTTGTGCCCCAGAAATGAAAACGTTAGCAGCTAGGTCTTTAGTCACAAGAATAAAGAACTGTTTCATTTTAGGTTTATTTTATTGAGAAGTTTTTCCTGTGGAAGATGTTCTCTCCAAAATGTTTGCCGCTCTTACATAAGCAGTAAAAATCCAGATATCAGAGGGAGGAAATGTGGTATGAATGGCAAACAGCAGTAAAGTGGAAGACAGTGAAGGAAAGCGTTGGAGGATGACAAAAGAATGTCCTGCATAGATAGAAATCAGGATGTAAATTACAGAAAGTTGTGTTTTCATTACAAAAAGAATACTTTACAGTCAAACTGCTCCACGGTCTTGAAAAGACAGCAGGACCAGGTTTAACATTCAGTGCATTCCACTGAGAAGTCAGCATGCAAATTGCCATAGATACTGTCTCTGCCAATATGTCTACGTTTTGTCTGTTTTTTTTTTTTTGTTTTGTTTTTTTCTGAAGAGAGCACAGTGTCATTGTTTGGAACAGAGTGAGAGATATGATTCACTGAGGAAATATGAAAGCTAATGAGTCAGAGACAGGACAAGTGGAGAAGAGAACCGCCGTTAATGATATAAGGAATTGTGGAGGTAAATGGCATCAGGAAGACATAAAAAACAACTGTGTTAAAACATCAGCACACTGAGGTGATCATGTGCGTTCCTATTAGCAACAGGCTCTTATTAATA